ATTCACTCCCTAACCCACACAACAACACACCACATTGGGTGCTACATTATCTCCACTTTACAACGAAGGGAAATGGAGTTGAGAGAAATTAAATAGCTTCATCTAAATTACCAAAATGCACAAGAGGCAGACTGATGATCTGAACCCAAGTGTCCAATTTCCTAAATTCATACTCACTCATTAGGAGGTATAAGAAGTAATTAGCTGCAATGAACATTCGTGTACACGTGTCCTTATAGTAGAACGATTTGTAATCCTTTGGATATATACCCAGTAATGGGATTGCTGGGTCAAATGGAATTTCTATTTCTAGGTCCATCATTCTCAGCAAACTGACAGAAGACCAGAAGATCAAACATCGCATGTTCTCACTCATAGGCGGGTGTTAAACAATGAGAACACATGGACACAGGGAGGGGAGCACTACACACTGGGGTCAGTTGGGGGAAATAGGGGAGGGCCGGTGGGGGGTGGGAAGCTGGGGAGAGATAGCAAGGGGAGAAATGCCAGATGTAGGTGATGGGGAGGAAGGCAGCAAATCACACTGCCACGTGTGTACCTATGCAACAATTTTGCATGTTCTTCACATGTACCCCAAAACCTAAAATGCAATAAAATAAATAAATGGGAAAAAAAGAAGTAATTAGCATGCATTCATTTATTTAATATACCCATCATCCCTAGGATGTAGTTATTTAACAGATACAACAAAGAATTTGGAAACATTCATTAATTGCACAAAATTGCATGGATGGGTCTGCTTCACATTTGTGTTCTTTGCACTGCACCAAACTAATTCTAAAGGTAAGGAAAGGTTTCTGACCCAGTCACAACTTCATGAATTGGTTGGGAACCAAGAGAAAAGATTCCCTTAATTATCTTTTGCAAAACTATTTAATCTTACCCTACTGAGTTTCCCCACCATGTCATCATGGGACACTGGTGCCATTAAGATGGCAGCACGAAATATCACTATCCCACCCTTTTGCAGTTGCTATGAAGGGTTCATAGGGTTAAGGACACTCTCAGGAGCAAGTGCCTTGTTTCTATTTCACAGGTGTGTCTCGAAGTCACTTTTTGATTTTTAACTTACAGAAAGAAAATAAATACATTTTTCTGACCCGGATGCACTCTTACTGTTCATCACAGATTTGTATTGACTTTTTCAACTTAAAATTGCACACTTTGGGGAATATTATTTTTAGGATTATGTATTATGAATGTTTAACTGACCTCAGATAGACATTCAAAGCTGTTGCTAATTAGTAATATTCCGTGAAGTTAATGCATCTCTGGGCAACAGTAAATAATTCATGCTTTGATTTAATAGTTTTCATTTTAGCATGAATATTCATATTGTTTATGATAGTGAAAACAATCCCTTAGAATTGCCTAAACCCATAGGAAATGTAGATATGATTGTTAGAAAGTAAAGCATTAATTTCTTGACTGCTCAAAATAATTATATAAGCTTATATTTTGATGCAGCCATCATGATTGTAAATCATATCTGTCATTATGTGTGGTGTAAATCATATTTGTCATTGTGAGTGGTGGGTTGTTCATACCTAAATTGTTATCAACCTTAATTTTTTCACATAGTGGGGAATAATATATGTTATTTTAAAAGCATTTATTTATTTTCAGAAAATAATTTTCTGAAATAAAGTGTCATAAGAGCATCATTTTAGATTGAGCTTTGTAAAATGTGACAAATAAGTTTAATCTCATAGTTATGTATTATTGTACATAGACACACACACCCACACATAGAGTCATGGTGTGAAGACCTTACATTTATAGATTTAAGAGTTCACTGCTCAACACGACAATTGTAAATTTGTTGGGCAATAAATTCTATTTGTGATTTCATCAGCATTTAACAATAGGTAAAAGGTTTTTGTTCATAATTTGATCAAACAAAAATTCATTGACTGTTTTCTATCTGCAAGGTTCTTTGTTAAACAATGAGAACACATACATGAATAACAAACATCATCTATCCAAAACCAGCTTGTATCTATGACTGCTCATTAACTCAGTCAAGAAGGTCACCCAGTAAAACCTGAAAAATTCATGGCTATGTGTGAATTGTAGTTTTATTACAGTCTACAAATCCTGCAGTCCTTTTCTTAAGAATTTAAGAAGGTTGCTTTTTAAAATTTTCTTCTTTGACTTAAAAAACACTGTGGAAGACAGAGGGGCATTTCCTCAAGGATCTAGAAATAAAAATTCCATTTAACCCAGCAATCCCATTACTGGGTATATACCCAAAGTATTATAAATTGTTGTATTATAAAGACACATGCATACGTATGTTCATTGCAGCATTGTTTACAATAGCAAAAACTTGGAGCCAACCCAAATGCCCATTGATGATAGACTGGACAAGGAAAATGTGGCACATATACTCCATGGAATACTATGCAGTCATAAAAAATGATGAGTTCGTGTTCTTTGTAGGGACATGGATGAATCTGGAAAGCATTATTCTCAGCAAACTGACACAAGAACACAAAGTCAAATACATGTTCTCACTCATAGGTGGGTCTTGACAGTGAGAATACATGGACACAGAGAGGGGAGAATCATACACTGGGGTCTTTCTGGGGAAGGGCTAGGGGGAGGGATAATATGGGGAGAAATGCCAGATATAGGTGACGGGAGAATGGAGGCAGCAAGCCATGTATGTACCTAGGCAATAGTCGTGCATAATCTGCACATGTGCCCCAGAACCTAAAGTACAATTTTAGAAAAAACAAAAAAAAAAAGGAACCTGGATATTTAAAATACAATAAACTTACTACTTGTGGCTGCTAGTTCACAAGTGAAGTGAACTTACAAAACAAAAACAAAAACAACAAAAACAAAAAAACACTTCAAGTTTTTGCCTCTTTATTTACTCCAGCCTCTTTAAAATTACATGGGAAGCTATTAAATGACATGGTGACATGTTAGTCTGTTAATTACTTTTATGAAACAAACTCAAATGCTATCATTTATCATTCAAAAACTCTTGCTAACATGATTCTTCTTTGATAGATCTGTATAAAATTTATTCAAAGCTTGTTACTAGTCTTTCCTTTATTAGTCTTAAAAGCAAAATGTTTTTAAAAATAAAAACACTAATGCTAATTCCTTTTTCTTATTAGTTTTTATTATTGGCATTGTATAAAATATTTTTTAAAGCTCCTCAAGATTTTAAATAAATGTTAACTAATATTATAATGAATGATTACTTTTAAACTATGCAGGCCTTAAATAAAATTAAACAAAACATGGCAGTGGTGAGGCTCTCAAAGATGTAATGAGAAGGCTATAATTATCTTTTGTCTAATGGTAGAATTGCCAGGCAGAATTAAGTCGTTTGAGATGGTAGGAGAATTCTGAATTCTCTAAAAGTAACACAAATCACTCTATTAGGCAGTGCTTACAGAATGACCTTTTGTACTGAGCACCTAAATATAGTATTCATGTTAAAAAGCATTCATCCAAAACTAATCCGAAAATCTATTCAATGGCGCATAAAATGTCTGTGTTCATTCTTGTTTCACTTTGAAACTCACTTGGGGAAACTTAATTTGAACATTAAAATCAGGAGAGACTGAGGAGGAAGCTGGATGAACGTAAATCAGATTCTTTTCATTTTAAAAGTGGCACCTCATTCTCCATTGTGTATTTGCGCCTTGTAAATACTTTCTTGTGTACCAATTACACAGTTTTGTTTTATTTAATTAAATCAATACATATAAAAATATATGCACACTACCATTCCAGTACAGTATTGTTTTAACTTAAGTATTTTATAAATTATGTTGTGACATCTGCTATTGTGACATTTGCCTGTGCCATCTGGTCCCCTGGGAGATCAGTTTAGAGTTACTTTGTTTTTACAGGAGTAAATTCTAGATTAGGTATTTGGCAGCTGACACTTCTGGATATATGGAAACAGAAGTGGCAGACAGGTAGACAATATTCAGAGAACAGGAGCAGACTTGGAACATGCTGAATAGAGGGCAAGAAGATGAATAAAGAACTGTGAACAAATCCATTAAGTAATCAAGATTTAAACATTCAGGTAGTGAATAGAGCAAAAGGGGTGAGAGATACAGGCCGCTTGGTGTCTCTAGAGCAGTGCTAATTGACAGTTTGTTGTAAAAAGCTCTCACTTAACTATAAGAGTATATAAAAGTCTCCGCAAATTTGTTTGAAAAGATAATTCACCAATAAAAACAACTGAGAAATAAGGGAAACTTTTGGGAATTCTATATACCCTTATTAAAATTTCCTTGCAATTTCTTAGCATCTAGACTTCTTGTGTGTGATAATTCAAGAGAACACATATCTGGGTGTCTGTCTTCCCAAATTCTAGTCCTCCAATTGTGCTTTCACCAGTGAGTAATTTTGTTGTTTTTTCCTCTGAAAATAAATTACTTTTTATACATGGCTCAAAGCTTGCCCAAGAATGATGAGAAATCTCTTATTCTTCCATCAGGAAAGCTTTGTTTCATTTCTCTTTCCACCTGGGTCAGTGGCCTGAGGTCTGTGAAAATGGTGATTTTTTTTTCTTTTGTATTTGATGTACTTGAAAACAAGAAATCAGACAGAAAGCTTCTAGGATCAGGAAACAGAAATGATATATATCTGTATGTGTAAACATAAATATATCTAATAAAATTATATGTACTTATATATATGCTGTTTTACTCATATTTTATTGATGTAGTATGGGGAGATTAGAATTTATTATAATTTAATTATTGAATGTAATTGTTCCTAATTAGAATATTTATGATAGAACCAGTAATTTCAGATTTTTTTCTAGATGGTCTTTAACCCAAATAATGAAAAAAAATCTAGTCCAATTTCCATTATGATGTTTTTTCTTTTTTTTTTTTTTTTTTTTTGGAGACGGAGTTTCGCTCTTGTTACCCAGGCTGGAGTGCAATGGCGCGACCTCGGCTCACTGCAACCTCCGCCTCCTGGGTTCAGGCAATTCTCCTGCCTCAGCCTCCTGAGTAGCTGGGATTACAGGCACACGCCACCATGCCCAGCTAATTTTTTGTATTTTTAGTAGAGACGGGGTTTCACCATGTTGACCAGGATGGTCTCGATCTCTTGACCTCGTGATCCACCCGCCTCGGCCTCCCAAAGTGCTGGGATTACAAGCGTGAGCCACCGCGCCCGGCTATGATGTTTTTTCTAAGTCAAATTTTCAAAGATGATTTCGAGTTATAAACTAATTCTATGCCATTATTATTTCTGCTTTTATTCTAATTTTTAAGAGTTTTGCTTCTTTAAGTATTTTCTGTAAAACAAGAAATTTTAGGTTTTTTTAAATTTATAATTACCAATAAATCATTACTCTCTTAGCAAAAAGTCTTACAGAAGCAGATCCTGTTTGTTATTACAGAGCTAAGTCTTCTAAATTAAATTTCCTCCATTGATTTATCTTTTAGGCTTAATGTGAAGCAATGTCAATGACATTCTACAGGATACAAATTCCATACTGGCAGGGAATCTGTTTCTAAGTTTCTAAATCTCAGCACCCAGAATGAACATTTGCACATAGATAACTTATAATCAATATTTGTTTTATGCTTGAATCAACTTTTAGAATAAAAATCTTGTCATAAAGAGGATAAAATGAAGCTAGTACCAGTTTGTTGCCCAAATTTCCAAATTTTTTCATTTTCTCTTTGGTACATTGATTTTATGCATATGTGCTTCTCTGTATGCATCTGTGTGTTTGCATTGACTGTTTCTAATCTGACCTTGGTAGTGAAAACAAGTTTGCATTTGCTATAGTCTCAGACCCCCTTTCCTAGTCTTCAATATGATTACCTCTTGCACTAGACTCTTTACCTCCATGGACTTCATCTTCTGGGCTATCAAAATAGCTTCCTATCTTCTTTTTCTGCCTTTAGACTCTTATTTCTCCTGTTGTCAAAATATATTTATTTTTTAAAATGACTAATCACACACTACCCATTAAAATGCTTTCTCATTCTCCAGTGACCCCAGTATTAAGTCCAAACTGCAGATCATACTGAAACTTTTCTTTCCAGATTATACCCCTGTCAATCTCAGCCCTTAATGACAGCTGATTAATTAGTTTCTAAATCTGGCATGAATATGCTATTCTACCTTCATCTGACACTGTGGAGGTCTACTAGGTACCCTTTAAAACCTCAGCTCTAATGCCACCTCATCTGTGAGATCTCTGACCATGACTTCTGACTCTCCCAAATATTTTTAGAAAATCTCTACTAGTCCATGTAGTATCTATCATTCCTTTACACATATCCTAGTGCATAAGACTGTGTGATGAGTTTCAGAGCAACATTATCGTCTATACCTGCTCTCATAGCTGATAGATGTTACATGCTTGTGGTATGGATAAAAATCTATTTCAAAACATTTATGGGTAAATTTCGTGTTTGCATAATGCGTGTAGTATATCAAATTCATTCATGTAAAATATATACAGGTATTGATCAGCTTACCACCTATGCAACTTACGACCATTCGACTTTACGACCACAATCGCTAGCCACACTGCTCCGTGTCTGGCAGTGCAAACGTTGTCCAGCCGGGTGTACGACAGTGCGGACCAGCTTCCGGCAGCACTACCATCTCCACGTGCACCATTTCAACTGTACATATAGCCTACTCAACTTATGACCAAATCGTGTTACGACCAGTCTGTGGTCCCAACCGTGGTCGTAAGTCGAGCACTAGCTGTACATGTTTTGTAAAACCATCATGAATGACTTATAGTGTTGATACTTGGTTAATTTACTTACATCTAGACACAAAGAGGAGATCAAGGAAAGTCAATGTAAGGTTTATTGCCGATGTAGAATGAGGAAACTGAGGCAAGTATGAGAAAATGAGAAGCCAATTTATTCAGCTCCTGGGCGAGGTTCTGTGGTCCAGGAAGTGGCCAAAGAAGTCATGCTTGGCTGTTTAGGTCATGGGGTTTTATGGGAAGGGAATGTGATTGATTGGCTCTTGGGGAAACAAAGCAAAGGCAATTTTATTGGCTGTCAGGAAGCAGGAAGTGCCTGAAACTAGTTGCTATTGGTAGGCGGGTGGGACTTTGGGTAAGTGGGTCTAGATTGGCTATTGGGGAAACAAAGTAAAGGCAATCCTATTGGCTATTAAGAAGCAGGAAATGCCTGGAGCTAATGATTATGGGTAGGTGGGGGGGACCTTGGGCCTTGATTGACTGTTGGGGAAACAAAGTGAAGGCAATCTTATTGGCTATTAAGAAGCAGGAAATATCTGGAGCTAGTGGTCATGGGTAGGCAGGCGGGACCTTGGGTAAGCGGGCCTTCCAGGGGCATATAGAGCAGACTGCTACCGGGCAGGGTCTGATGGGACTTTTTAAAAAATTTTCCTGCAGGGTTTATTAACAGCGGGCTGGGGGTTGAATGCATAATTTAGTGCTGAATGTGGGCTTGGGTCTGGTATGCAGAGGCAGGTGCACGGAAGCCATGCGGCAAGACCAGATAAAGAGCTTGGGTGATGACGCAATTATCAGGCACAGAGAGAGAGATGGATGTGTCCGTTTAACCCTCTGTGAGGCAGCCAGCCTTACAGTCAACCACTCCTTGCTTGATGCTGCAAATTGCATCAAGACCTTTTGCCTTCAAAAATTCACAAGCTGAAGACTGTATTAGTTTCCGAGCTAATATTTCCTGACACTTCCTCTGAGACCATTTTAAAGACCAAAGGTATTATTGCCTTAGTAACAATATGGAAGAAAAATCTATGAGTTTAATTTTCCACTCCAAGTAATAGTCCAGGAAAATGTTCCTGAGTTGATTGTGTGTAAGATGGGGAACCAAGGTAAACAAGTAGGGGAGCAGAGATAATTGTCAGGAGACACTTGTTTTGAAAATTGCAGTTTTCTTAAATTCCTATGAACACACACACACAGTGCACACATGCATACGATAATTAAATAGCTTATCTGAATGCAAGTTTCAGTCAAATGGAGGGTAGATTAAATAGACAACTCTATTTTCCTTTCATTTAGAGATAGTGAACGGACCCTCAGTTACTATTAGCATCTGCCCCTCCCTCAACACAGATTCAGCAAAATTATCTTATGCTGCAGTGGTTCATGGGTTGCCAGCCTCCACAGATTAAAAGGGAGCGTCTTAAGGACAGGGCCTGAAACAGTGTGAGGCATAACCTGATCACAACTATGATTCAGTCTCCCTGAAGGTACCCTGGGAGAGGGGCTAACCATGGACATTCATTCATTATCGTGGCCATTCCTTGAAAAGCTCAAGTTGCTGTAGCCATTTCAGTATTTTTCCCTACAGGCAGAAGCCGTCTGAGTGGCTGAGGAAAACAAGGAAGCTTTAGAGAGAGTCCAAAACGGATAAATTAATCTAAAAATCTGACAACTTTTCAAAAATTACCAGTTCATAGACTATGTTCACTTTAAATGAACGGCTTGACATTTTACCAGATGACAGTCTTCCTAAAGACTTATTATGCAGTATGGATAGAAATTTACTTTTCTGTCTGTCACTACAGTGATATTTATTTATGGAAAGTGGATGAAGTTTCTCAATTTCAATGAGTAAATTCTCAGTGGTAAACCATGTCCTGTGTGTTCAATGTCCTTGAAAGTTTTCTTTGGAGTTAGTTGTCAACGTAATTTGTAAATTATATCAGTTTCCTGTGATTATACTTCAGAATTATTCTAAAAATTCATCTTAATTCTCTGAGACAATTAGTTTAAGAGAGCTCAGGTCACATATAATCATGCATGGATGGCATATTAAATATGCATTCACACTTAAAACTACATCTGATAGTATACTTCTCAACTGCTATATATTTATTGCTGTACAGATAATCAGCAGGTCAGGACCTTGAGCACGAAAGTAGGTGGTCTGAGAGAAGAGGTAGGCAGGGGAGCCAGTTGTTTAAAATTGCTAGCACACTACTGAATGTGTCCTACTGAGATTTCCCAAATTGAGAATCATTCTGTGTTATGATTTATTAGGTTATATCTTGTCATGATTTGTTATACATTATTTTAAATGCACAATTTCAAACCAGACACTCCCCTCAAATTCAAAAATGAACCCTGATTATTAAAAAGTCCAGAAACAACAGATGATGGCAAGTTGCAGAGAAAAAGAAATGCTTTTACACTATTGATAGGAGTGTAAATTAGTCCAACCAGTGTAGAAGACAACGTGGTGATTCCTCAAATATCTAGAGGCAGAAATACCATTAGACCCACCAATCTCATTACTGGGTATATACACAAAGGAAGAAACTTGCACATATATGCTCATCGCAGGACTATTCACAATAACAAAGACATGGAATCAATCCAAATGTCCATCAATGACAGACTGGGTAAAGAAAATGTGGTACGTATACACCATGGAAGACAATGCAGCTATAAAAAGGAATGAGGTCATGTCCTTTGCAGGGACATAGATGGAGCTGGAAGCCATCATCCTGAACAAACTAATTCAGGAAGAGAGAACCAAACACTGCATGTTCTCACTTGTGAGTGGGAGCTGAACAATGAGAACACATGGACACGTTTCGGGGAACAACACACTGTGGCCCACCAGTGAGGGCGGTGGGAGGGAGAGCATTAGGAAGAAGAGCTAATGGGTGCTGGGCTTAATACCTAGGTGATGGGATAATCTTTGCAGCCAACTTCCATGGCACACATTTAGCTATGGAACAAACCTACACATCCTGCGCATGTACTCCATAACTTAAAAACGTTGAAGGAAAAAAAAAACGAGTCCAAACCAACAGTAATTAAAAGGAATTTCCTGCGTAACTAACCCATTCTAGGTTCCAGGGAAACAAAATTTTGTATTCGTGCATAAGAATTCGTATTAGTGAGCAACTCACATTTATCTCAAGATTCCAGTAAATTCATGGGGAATGTTTGGGGAAAAGACGAAATGTCTAAACTTGGATAGCTCTGAATAAAAATCAATGGGTCCAAATCCTAACAAT